ACATCATGAGTTTCACATAAATTATGCATACTCTTGTTAAATTAAAAATAACTTTAACTCACTTATTTACTTTATTTTTTTTTTTTTAATTAGGTTGCCCTCCAGTATTTGCACTTTCTACCAGCTGACTGGTAAGGAAGAGATCCCTGAAAGAGATCCATTTCTTGCCTCTTTGGTCATTTTTGTTTTGGTTATGTAAAGATAGCGTCTAAAGGTTGTCCTCTTTCCTTCACAACTTCAAAGCGAGAATTACTTGGACCATAAGGGAAGATAAATGAGATAATGACAAGGATTATATCTGTTAATGTTACTCCTGATATTACAAACCCCATGTTTCCCATTCTACATTTTAAAAATGCTCGTATAGATAATATGAATGAGTGCTGCACAATAGCCTCTTACCTACAATGGTGTTTCTACAAGAAGAGTATTGACTCAGTGGTTAAGCGTGGAATAGCAGAGACACAGTTTAAATCCTCTATTCATAGAAGTGCTCTGAAGAGAAAAATGAGACATCTCTGGGTTTTGATTCTTCTCATTCTTCCCTAGAAGGAAAGTTATATTTGTGCTGCCTCTAGGCAAAGTACCATCCCACGTGAACAAAAAAGGATGAAACTAAGATCACATCCATTTCATCTCGCTGCTGCTACCCCAGCACAGAAGCTCTCCGCAGATGCTTAAGTCCCTGACACTGTAGCTGCAGTGCTCATATGTCACAGTAAATGATTCATTAAAAATGCATAGACAGATTGATCTGAGAAGAGGGAAAAAAGATCTGGAGTTTAAGGCGAAAGGAAAATAGAAATGAGAAGCCAAAAGGTAGAAAATGGAAACACCCCCAAAAGCCACATGAGAAAGGCATGCAAAAAGATAGCTAAAAGAAAGAGGAGACAACAACCCTGTTGACATTTAATATGCCTACTTGGGATAAAACTTATCCTTTTACTAGCAATAAAAGCAAAAGCCTGGAGAAAGACCAAAGCCTTAAGCATTTTGCATCAAGTACCTCACAAAAAGATGGTAGGCAATTTCTGCTGAGGCCTGTACAACATTAGCACTGAATTACCTAATTTTACTTTAATGTAATTAAATGGGAGCAAATCCCTAATGCAGATATAGATAGCTCTATTGATATTGCGCCTATAATGACATAACTGAAACAATATTAAGGTGATACATCCATGCACCAGAACTGTTTCCTATTATTTGCGTATAAAAATTGAGTGTATTTGTACCTCTCCTTATTTCTTTTCACATGCTACATTATGTAGGTCTACGAAGGATGCACGGCTTATATGCAGCACCAGTGGGGTTGAAAGGAGGCTGATGCTTTTGGAGCAGCACGGAAGTCTGAGCAGGCTCCCTGATCCTAGTTACCAGTAGTCATCTTAATTCATATACCACTTGCTATGCTCCCACTCAGCCTCAGAATTGGGAAGGAAAAAAAGAGAAGGATAGGTTCATTTGTGATTCTTGTGGCCTTGATAAACATGTGATTGATAAGACTAACCTTAGACTATTACTGGCTTTCTAGTATTTCCCGGATGGCCATAAGTCTTTACTCTGTTAAAAGAATCCTGCAAGCCAAAAACCACCCATGCTTAAGAATAATAAGCTATTTGAATAAGAGACACCTTACTATGACATTCAGGCAAATTATGTTACATAGGTGACATATTTAATCTATTTTTCATTAAAAATAATTGGTAAAACATGAGTATGGACCATAACTTATATTCCGTCAGTTAAAGAAAAAAAGCCAGATACCTACAATGGGAAGTATATATATATATAATCACACACATGTACAATAGCAATATTTTTAGCTACAATTTCCTACTCATGTGGCAACATGACGAGCATTTTGAAGAAGCTGAGCCAAGTGAAATACAACCTGCAGAACAGGTCATGTTTAAATATTCTGCTATTGAAGAATATTAAAACCTGCAGATTAAGTAGGAGTGTTGTAATACTTACATTAATTAATGCTTATAAATCATTCTGAAATACTTGGATAAAAGATGGCATAAAAAGTGTTGCCACATCTTGATGCTTCTAGGTGCGTACAATCCCTTCCATCTTATTTTGCTTTTCTGGATGGTTGAAATAATCAAAAATATCCTCATTGGATGAATTAAGTGTTGGTGTTTGAACACAGCAGAGAAACACCAAGGATGCTCGAATCCTGATTAAGAACTCGAGCAGCCACCTCAATATAAATATACTTAAATACCTACATTTCTTCATGTCTGAATCCAAGTGCTAGTGCTAGTTCTTCAGGTCTAGAAATTGAATGCCTCTATTAATTGATGAATTAGCACAGCTCAGACTGCTGTTTATTCACATATGTGAAATATCTTATACATACTATTCCTTCCAATCTAGTACCACCTAGTATTCACATCACAAAAAAAACCCCTAAGACATTGCTATTAAGTAGACTGAAAAGGAAGGTACCTGGAAACACTTGAGACCTATCTGGTGCTAGTGGACAACATAACGAGGTTTCAAAGAACTTGGTACTTCTTGCTTGTACAACACAAGCCTTTATAAAATACAGAAATTAAAGGCCAGCATTAATGGCCTTATGCTTTCCTGCATGGATCTCGTGCTCTAAGAGGCATGTCTTCCTTTTTGATCAGAAACAAATTAAATATTTTATGGCATCCATTTAAAAAAAAAACACACAGAAGCGTAGGGAGTGCCACCAAACTCAGAAAGGAGCAGAATCTCTGTCCTTAATGGAGATAATTTAGTGCAGAAGAGTTTTAGCTAGAGGTACCACAAGTACACACATCTTACCCAAAAGGTGAAAACACTGGGAAATGATTCATCCTGCTCTCTTCAGTCCTCTATTTCAAACTCAGCACATGTGCTGCTTTATAGCTGCCTTTCTGGAGTACAAACCGTTTGCTCTGCTATTGCACAGCACGTAAAACAATGCGGTGTTGTGCCCGCCTAGGTAACTTCTAAAAGCTATCTCGCTGCAAATAAATACTGCAAGCCACTGGTCCGCAGCAGCCAAAGGACAATGATAGGAAACACAAGTTTGTTGTGATCTGGCCGGTGGCTGAGGCAAGGTGCCAGAGGCCGGAGGCGTGGCCACCATGCGAGCTGAGCACCCAGTGCTTCTTAGAGACCAGCGCGAGCATAGTTAATTGCACGTGAGGCGCTTTGGTACAACCACCTATTAACGTTGAACCTTGGCATGACAGCATCTGAAGGCAAGGCTGTAAAACACACCCTGGACGTTGTGGCCATTACCCTGAGGAATACGTCTGCCACGGGTACGATCACCACATGCCCATCTCCCACCAGGACTCCCCAGAGCCGCTCCAGGCTGAGGGTGGGAGACGGAGGGCCGGGAAAGCAGCTGTCGCACCACTGGTAACAACTCACAGCTTTACACCGGCTCTCACAGTGGTTTGATTTTTCCTGCACAGTGCTCTGACACCTGAGACCGGCCGCGCTCAGGGAAAAAAGCTCCCGAACACCAAAAGCAAGCCCCGCAAAGGTGGATTAATAATACAGGGAGGGTGGGACCGGGAGGCGCCAGCTCTCCTCCTCCGGCGCCGACAGGGCCAGGCGCAGCGAGCAGGTGCCGGCGCACTGTGCGGCTGTGTCCGTCCCTCACACCTGCCCTCACGGCACTGCACGACGGTGGCCTCGGGGCGTCACCGAGGCGAGAGGCGACAGAAACAGGCCCGCAGCGCCCTTCGCTCCGCACGGCGGGCAGGACACAAGCGGACGGTGTCCAGCGAGGACGCGAGAGGGGCCGCGCCCAGGGGCGGGAGGGTAGGCGGGAGCAGGCGCGCACGAACGGGCGCGCTTGTTGCGTGCGTTGCGCGGCGGCGCGCTCGCGGGCAGGTAGGGGCGCAGGGAGCGCGCGCCGCCCGCCCCGCCCCGCCGGGGGTGGAAGTGGGCGGGTCTAGGCGGCGGCCGCCGGGCCGTGAGTGGGTAGGCAGGCTGTCAATCCGGGGCGGCGCGCGGCCGCCCGGCGTCGCGCGACGGGGTGCCGTGATTGTGGGAAAGGAAGGGAGGGTGGGGGAGGGGGAGGAGGAGAGGAAACAAAAACAATCGTCCGGGTGCCGCCATCTTGGGTCCGTTCTCCACGCCACACAAGTGAATGGGTAGATATGAAATTACCACAGGGGAGCAGCAACAGCAGCAGGGTACGGAAGGCTGTGCCGAGCTGCCAGCTGGACTCGGGAGACTCTAGAAACGGCTCTTGCCGCCGCCGTCACCCAGAGAAAATCCCCGCGCTCGGCCTTTTCTCCTCGCCAACCCCTAAACTGCACTCCTGGAGGGACAAAGTTGGTCTCAGCCGCGCTGCCTCCGCCGTCCGGGAGACGAGAGAGTTGCGTTCGGCTGTGGCTTCCTCGGAATTGGGAGTGAGCCGGGGTCAGAGTTAGGGGCGAGAGTGACGAGGGGACTCCTTCACCCGCTGCCCTCTGGCCCGGGCTCGCCGTGTGGGAGGCACGAGGAGGAGGCAGCAGGCGCCCCGCAGGCGTTTCCTTCCCACCCCTGCTATTTCTTATTCCTTTCTCCTAAAAGGAAAAAAAGGAAAAAGCAAGGACTGGATTGAGTTGCAAGGACGGCCGGGACTGTCGCTGGTCTCCGTGCGGGCGGGCGTGCGTGCGGCGAGGAACCGATGTGTCCGTGAGGAGTTCAGAGAGGAGGCGAGTCCCAGCCCTGCTTCCCGGGAGGAGGAAACCCGCCGCCCGCCAGGCCAGCACAGAGCTGCCCGCTGCATCCTTCCTTCTGGTGCCCGCCGCCTTCTCGCTTCCAAAGAAGCTGAATTCTCCTGGAAACACGGCAAGGAAGGAAGGAAGGATTTGCCACAAAGAATATACCATCCTTCTCCCCAGCGGCTGGATACTGCATTTTAATTGTTTTTTTTTTCTTCTCCAGTCGCTCTTCTGTGTTTAAATACCAAATATAGCCTCGTGGGGGGGGGTGGGGGGGTTGGGGGTGGGGGGGAGGGGATGGAAATCTCTTAGAAGAATCTGAAATCTTGCTGGGATTCGGGAGTGCTGCTGTTGCACGGCCCAGGAGATAGGACCGCGGTGACGGGGGAGAGAAGAGAGATGTACGGCTCTGACTGACTAGCGAAGGACTGGAGATCTGCCTCTTCTCGGGAAGCCCGAAGGTTGGTTCGTTATGAGACTGCTGGTTTTCCTTTTCTTCTCTTTTTGTTTACGCTAAATCCCTCAGCATTATTAAGGAAAACCGAAGTGTTGCCCAGGTGTAGCTGGTGGCTCTCTGGTTTTAAAGGTAGTTTTCATCAAGAAACTGACAAAAACTCTTCCCTTCACCCGGAGGCTTTTGAGGTTTGAAACTGAGATGAAGCTACTCTTCTCCCAAACACTACACGTTGTATAAGGGGAGCCAGGACGAAAACGTCGTGTTTACTGACTTCGATACGACTTCCCGACACTTGGCACCCACGAGGGATGCTTCACGGAGCTTAACTGTTGATAATTTTTCTTTTTTTTTTTTTTTTAAGTGGTTTCGTAAAATACTTTTATGAATTAATTTTTTGCCACTGTTCGTACAGAAGCCAAATGACACGTGTGTTTTGAAACACAGTTCCAAATATATCCATCCCTCAAGCCGGATTCTAGCCAGAAAGAAACGGAGGGAAATCATCAGTGTCTAAACAAATCTGATTTTACCGTTTTATGAACATTATCTGCTGTTATAGCAATATTATGTTGCTACAGATTGCTTTATAACGGTTCAGCAAGAAGGGTGATCTCCCCACCTTGCAGGACCCAGGAAGCTGGATACTTAGTGTCACTTACATGTTTTAACAGCATTGGAAAATGGGAGCTGCTACTAAGTTGGCGTTCGCTGTTTTTCTTATCTCTTGTTCTTCAGGTAAGTGAATGTTCCTGGTCTTACCTCTTTATATGTAAGGTTTTGGGTCAGCACTTGAAAGCTTGAGGTAACTTCATCGATTAGCACAAACGAGAAGAAGTTTGTTGTTGTTTTTTTTTTTTTTGTCTGTGACTGTAAAGGCAGAAGCTATTTTCATTGTTACTCTTAAGAATTTATAATGTGAGCACTTCAAACGCGTGCAGCGTTTGGATTTCAGATCGTGTTGAACAAATGTGGAGACATAACCACCTGGTGTCACATACAGTAATCCGGCAATGCAATTATTAGCGTTTCGTGGTGTTTCTTTAAATAAGAATAACCCAACTGAAGTACTCTTAACTTCAATTAGATCTCTTATTCCGGACCATTCATTGGTAAATGGCAACCTTAATTAATGCTTCATTAGTTTAGAATACTCAGTGTTAGCTCGTCTTTTAATGATGTTGAGGGCTGTGAGCATGCGTAGATGTATGCGAAAAATTGGGCTGAAAAGGAAGACTTTCAGGTTCTGAGCAATCATTTGTAACGCTTTGTATTTTGCTACTCAGGAGGTCACTGCCTTGTAGTGCGAAAAACCCATTACTACTTCTCAAACAGCAGCGTCCTGAGGAACTAGGGTGTGTGAGGACTTCCTCATGCATCTTTAAGAGGAAAATTGTTATGGCAGCAACCAGTGGTTGGGGAGAACTGTTGGTATGTTTCTGTTTGAAGCTCCCATCAGTTTCACAAAAAAAAACCAAACCCCCCAAACACCCGTATTGTGAGCTGTCTAACGGCTGTAGTAGTAGCTACATGGCAAGCCAGGCACTTTCTATTTGGAATGTGTGTACAGTCCTCTGTGTAGCTTGAGCTACACTTTTTGATGTTCTTGCAGAGTGTGCAAATGTACACTTGTTTAGCAGACAAGCGCTCAGCTTTTCAGTGTAGCTGGTGTGAGGGAATCTTGAGATCCGTATAACAATGCCTTTTAAGATTTCAGTGTTAATAAAGTACGGGATTTTGCTGAACAGGACGTTTTCTTGTGGTTAGTAAATGGATAGTCTAGTCTTATGTCTGTAGCTGTATTGATCAATTCCGCGTATGCTAAATGTGCTGTGAAATGGCGAGCGCTGCCAGAAATAAACCAGAAAAAAATCTTTTCTGTTTTAACCAGAGAAACAACAGAGCAGGGTAAGGACAGGCAGAAGGTTGGTGGTTGGGGTTTTTAATTTTTTTTTTTTTTTTAATCAGGGTATACCGTTTATTCCTCTTGAAACATAATATGTTTTCTTCTAACAGTTTTATCTTGCAGTAGAAAATGCATCTTTCATCTTTTCCTCATGCGTTATTTTTGAGTTACTCCAGCAACATTCCTCTTATTCAGGAATATGCTTTGTAGGGAAATTCCCCCCCCCCCCCAGTGACAGTTTCTGAAAGACTTGGTGCCATCTGCTCTTCATGTCTGTCTCTCTCTTCCACGTCCTCCTATTAAGATCCTTTTGCCTAGAGCACAGAGTAGTGATCTTGTTGACATTACCTAGCCTACTTATAAAACAGAACGGTTAAGCAGCAAGGGCCGTCTTTTTATTTCTTGCTCGGGTTGTTCTCGGTGAGGTAAAACGAATGTTCTCTTGCTTGGAAGATGGAATTAATCTTTGTTAAACGAGCAGGAAACTGTCTGCAATTCGGACTGCTTTTCGTGTTAATGACATTGTTTTGGTGGTTATTCCAATAGTACACATGAATTGTTCTGGTATTTAACAATGACTAAACTATTTTCTACTCGCCTAAACTTTTAGAGTATCTGTAGTCCTGGTATAGGTCTAAAAATAAATAAATTTAACAGTAAGTTTTTGTTTTATGTTCATAATGGCAAGATTATGTAAGCTTTTAGCTTGCAGTACAGCAGTGTTTCTTTTTTTAACTGTGACTTGTTTTGGTTTAACATCATACCTGATCAATTGATTCTAATATCGTTGTTGGAAGAGAAGTTTCTTTTCCACTCTTCAGCCTGAAAAATGTCTGCCCAGGCTGTATACTTAAAAAGTATTGCCAATGGTTCAATAAATCCTAGAATTCAGGCATAAAAGTATCTGGTTCGTCCTTCTCCAGTATGCAGTCTCCAACTACTCTGTGTGTGTGTGTGTGTGTGTGTGTTGGGGAGTGGGGGTTTTGGTTTTCTGTCTTTATTAATTTATTTATATAGGGAACTATTTTCTGCGGTTGTTTACATAATCAATTAGTACTGGTGTTCCTTAAAGAGGTGAAAATGTTGTGTTTTTTTTCATACGTGGTGGTTGTGGAAGTGGTCTTTAGGTTGAAGACATTTTATTTTACTGTCTGTAAATGCTGTATGAAATTCTGTAAATGTACTTCAGATGGATAGGAATTTCCAGTGAATCTGGTAATTTTTGCTAAGAGATTGAAAGCTATTTCCCTTTTCTAACTAAGAGATTTGAAAAAGAGCATCTGTGTTATGTTTATTAGGCTTTAAAATATTTGTAGATGCTTGGATAAGAGTGGGTGTAGGTTTGCACCCATTCGCACTGATTCAAGAGAATGAGATGAATGTGTATTAACTAAACATTAAAACCTTGTACCCAGGCCAATGTTCTCCCTGTGCCCTCTAATATACTTTTTTATGTAAACCCATGTGTATTCTTTGTTTAATAAAGAACAGAAGATCCAGAAGCAGTAATAGAATGCTTAGGAGCAATTGAATATGCTTCCTGTGCCTCTTCTGTAGGTAAGATTGTAGGTGCTTAAAAAATAAAAATCATAAATAAAATAGCTTGTTCATCAAAGAACACTTCTCTTTAGCTATTATCTACGTTCTCCTCAAGGAAGTGTGCTTCTCTGTCCTCTGCTTTTGTGATTGCTGAGTTACACCTTAGAAATTTTGGGAACAGGGAATGTATACTTTCATACTTTTCTGTGATGTTTCAGAATATATACCTCATGCAGCTGACTGGGGAGATGTTTGAAAGAGTGGATTGTTTTCAGCCAAAATCTTACGTTGTGGGTTCTGTATAGTTTTTAACATCTCATGGTTCCTTTTGTTACTCTTAAATCTCCATGTTTTCCAAACCATCATTTCTTCTGAGCTACCTGCTTTGCCTTTGGTACCTTGTGGTCCATCGTCAGAGTAGTTCTGCAGCTCAAAGTCTCTTACAGGGGAGAGACCTATATCTGTTAAAACTCACTTAAGCTGAATTCATGCTAAAAATCATCTATGCAAAAGATTGCATGTCAGAAAAGTGTTAATCCTCTTTCTTTCCTAATGATGGATCATTCTCAAGCCAGTCAGAAGGTCTTAAGTAGTTTTGCTAAAGGAAATGGCACATCAGAAAGACCTTTGTAGTTGAAGTTTTCACTACATGGAGAACATTTTATTCTTTGATTTAATTTTTTTTTTAACCTTCTATCTCCAATTATTAGTAGGAAGTATGTGATTTTTTTTTTTTTTTTTTTCACTGAAAATCCTCCCTCCCCCACCCCCCCAAAAAAAAAAATCTAGATTCAACTGTAAAGCCCAAGATACTGCCATGGTTTCAGAAGCTGAATAGTTAGGTGTTCTAAAGGAATTGTGAGGGGTTAGTATTTAATTCTACTACTGCAATGTGTTTTTTACTGTAATTTCATTATTAATTTGGTAACACCTGAAAATCCTACCAAAGGTTTAGGAGTATTGTTTGTGAAATTGTTGGTAGCTGTCTGTGATTGTGGTTGAACTCTAATCACTTTATTGCATAGGCAGAGCAGTAAAGCTATTCAGACTTGGTACTGCTGTTAAAGTAAACCCCTGCTCAAGATTTCTTTTTTATAAGACTACAATTTTTATGTGTGTTACCATTAGGCAGTGCCCCAGCACTCTTGATGGTGCTGTTGAGAGCAGGACTTGTAAACCTACTTAATGCTTTTCTCAAGCATAGATAGTTTACATAGATGTAAATGTTACATAGTTCAAAAGTATCATGGCTCAAGGTTGATGTTATAACTTTGATTACATATCAGAATTCTGTTACTACTATGTTATCTGTTAAATATTAACAGCAGTTGAAAACCCTAAATCTGGGTAATGAAAAACAGCTGTACTCGTGCTAATGTAGTACTAGAGCAGGTAATCATACTTCTAGTATAACTCTGCTTGACAAATGCTTCTGGAGAGATGCTGCTGTCATGGGTTTATTTGCATATTTTCAGTCACAATTCTTTTCTTAGAGAAAAAGCTTAAATTTGTCTTCAAATGCTGGATGTTATGTAAATTGGCAGGGGGAGGTGTTCTCTGTGAGGGGAAAACTGCTTTCTGTTATATGGGGGTGCAAGAAGGTAATTACTGCTATCAAGAATGAAAAGTTTTCAGCTAGTTTTAATGGAAAGTATTTGACTACCATTTCTTCCCCTTCTTTCTTCTTTTCTCCCCCACTTCAACTCTCCTGCTCCCCTGAATTTGGGGATGAAATTCCTTAGGTGATAGCTTCAGGTGATTTGCAAATGAGGATAAACTCCTCCCCCCGCCCCGTTTAACTGTAGAGGTATGGTGTCTGGATCTCTTGAGAGATAAGTAGTCGTCTTTGTTCACAGACAAATGTGGTGGACACAATCTGCAAAAGTCGTCGTTTCGGGATACCATAGAATCAGCTAGGTTGGAAAAGACCTTTAAGGTCATCAAGTCCAACCATTACCCCAGGACTGCCAAGACTATCACTAAACCATGTTACTAACGGCTTCATCTACACAGTTCTTGAACACTTCCAGGGATGGTGATTCCACTGCTTCCCTGGGAAGCCTGTTCCAATACATGATCACTCTTTCTGTGAAGAAATTTTTCCTAGTACTTAATCTAAACCTCCCCTGGCACATCTTAAGGCTGTTTCCTCTTGTCCTATTGCTTGTTACCTGGGAGAAGAGACCAACCTCCACCTCACTACAACTTCCTTTCAGGTACTTAAAGGAAGTGATAAGGTCCTGTCCCCCCCAGCCTTCTCTTCTTCAGACTAAACAACCCCAGTTCCCTCAGC